TGACCTGACACAAATCATGATAATTCAGCTCAAAGTAGTGGAAGTCACTCATAATTTAAACCAGTGCAGATAAAAAAGTAACTTGGATTAGGAATTACAACTGTTATTGCAGATAATGCTATCAAATAGTGATAATTTATGTAATATTACTCAAAAAAAAATTTATTGCCTGTGCCAAGTATGTAGATTACGTGTAGGAATTGAACCTACCAGTGTAAAGCAGATATTATAATAATTAAACATCATCAGAAAAAAAAAAAAAAAAAAGCAGCATTAGCAAATCTAGCAGAAAGATTTTTAACCTGACATGATCTAACTTTTCTTTAATCAGTAGGTTCCTGTCTCCTCTCACCCTGGCAATGGTCTGTGCACCCAGAAATGTATAATTATGACTAGTTCATCATTTTGTGTACAAACCCAGTGGCCATTTATGCAAATGTTGTCTACCTGCAGCTAATTGCAGCTAATTGCTGATGGCTGGTGCTGGCTGCAGACCGCCAGGCTCCTTTGGGCTGCTGTCAGATGTTCTCATCTCCCTGTAAGAAAACAGCCTCTGAAACGCCATTTGACACTGCAGCTGGCCTCGAGTTACCTACAGCAGGCTGTGCAATTTATAAATCACATGTGGAATGTGATTAAAAAAAAAAAAAAAGGAAAAAAGGAAAAAAAAAAAGAAAAAGGTCAGATTTGGTTTGGATGTCCTCAGCTCTGGAGGTACAGTGAGCTACTGACCTCTAGTTGAGAAAAACAAGATAGCTGTTAGCTCTGGTCCTGTTTCTAAAATATATTTTCTTCCTACATGACAGCCTGCAATGTAATTTATTTTGCTTCTTGGTGGCAACAGGAAAAGTTTTCATTTTTTTCCAGGCAACTCATTCAGACTATTTAAAATGAATGAGAAGGGCTCCATTTGCCTTTTTTTTTTTCTTTTTTTTCTCTTTTCTCCCAGTAACTTTTTGTCTGCGCTCACAGGAATAGGGCACAGATGTGAAATGAAATGACTGGCCATTAAAATAGCAGGAGCCAAGCAGGAGCTGCAGGAGACACTGGTCTTGGAAGGGCTTTTCCATGTGAAATAGTGCAAAAAACTGAACACCCTATTTCCTTCTCCTCTAAACCACTGTTTTGTTAAGGATTGACCATATTTACAGGCTGCACACAGGCAGCCTGTAATATATATTATATATAATATATTATAATATATATTATATAATTCTATATAATTATATATATAATTATATATTACATACTATAATATACTATAATAAATATACTATACTATACTATACTATACTATAATACACTATAATGTAATATAATGTAATATAATATAATGTAATGTAATATAATATAATATAATATAATATAATATACTATAATACAATATAATACAATATAATATAATGAGATAATATCTTATCTATTTAAAAATATATAAATAAAATATAATATATTGTATACAACTTAATACAAGAGACCAGTAATTTTCTCCTTTGTAAATGAACTTTAAAATATGATGAGGAAGGGTAAGTGAACAGCCCCAGGAATTCAGTGAGATCTGGTGATTTGTTAGGACTCATCCTGGAAAGAGATCAGCAGTGGGATGCTGAGCACCAGATGGGTTCAAGTTCTCAGCTCTTGCCTAAATTACGAAGTCACAATTTCGTTATAAAGTCACCATATTCACCCACAAATCATTATTACCAGCCTACCAATATCTCCATGATTTTTTGACTGTGAGTTTAAAAGTTATTTTTTTCCTTTCATCCTGTATTCCTTTCCCTAAAATGTTTTGGAGCCATCTTTCCCCTAAACTTTTTTGATGGTTAAACAAGGCAGGGTGAGGACAGGGTGACTAAATCACCTGCAGGAGAAATAAGAAATCTGTGTGTTCTGTCCTTCATAGAATAAATCAAGGTGTTCAGATAATAAATAGGAATAATGAGGGTAAAATATCAGTATTTATGCTTGCTGCTGTTGATAGTTGTTGGTTTCTACCTTTTACCTTCCTCCTGTATCTCCTGAAAACAGATGTAACATTTCACAGAATTTTCATTTTGCTATGCAAACTTTTTTGTTTGTTTGTTTTATTTTTTTTTTTAATTTTTAATTTTTCTTTCTGTTCCCTTGTGTTTGGGAGAAAATCTCACCTTAAGATAAAGAAATTTTTACTTGATCCTGTTCAAAGCAGGTAATGTCAGACAGGACCAGTGGTGCTGCTCCTCTCCTGCTCCTCATGGATGAGGTTCAGCACTGCTTTTCCTCCTCGTGGCTTTTTTAAAATTTATATTTCTGTCCCAATGCACACAGAGCAGGGTTTCTCTCCACATCCCATGGAACACTGCATCCACCCAGCTGGAGTGGTGAGTGTCAAAAAGGGTTCACTGGGTGAATCTCCATTCCTCTGGATGAAGAAATTTATGCATTTTCAGTCAGGAAATGTATGATGGAAACCGAGAAGAATTAGTTTGAAGTACTCCAACCAAAAGGAAAAGGAAAAATCGGAGATAAAATCAGTTTTTTGTGTCCTCTGGGGACAGGGTGGGTGTATGGCAGCAAGGGGGATAAGCCACCTCTCCACTTTAGTGGATATTTGAACACTGGAGCTGACTGTTTATAGAATTTTCATCACAATCTGTCTCTTGGAGCATATTAAACAATAATCTGAGTGAGGATGGTTCAGCCTTGTCTGAGGCGAAGGAGAGGTGAATGAATTAAGCCTTGGCTCTGATATTTACCTGTCTGCACCTACCCCAAGGGGACAGGAAGGGGCTTGGGGGTTTTTGAATCCCATTTTCTGCTGAGGGGGCAGAGGGAGAGGACCACAGTGCCTTTGGAGGGCAAAAGGTGCATGACCAGGAGCTGCCTTGAGACCCTTTCCAGCCCTACATCCTAAAAAGTTTTGCCAAGTTCAGTGACTCCTGGAAAATCAGACTCTGTCATCGAACTTTCAACTTTTCTGGATGCTTTTGATATAGATAAATAACGTACCAAAACCAGATATTTCAGTTTGATGTCTCTGTACCAAAGGCTGAGGTCCAGACTCAAATCAGGTGAGCTTGTTTATTTTGTACACATTTAGATTCAGAAATCCTAACTTCTAATTTCCAGTGAAGTGCATTTGATCTTGCTGTGCTGATCTTTTAAATGATCTTGACTTGTTAAAGAATCATAATAATATGCATCTATTTTATTCTCAGGGATGTTAATTAATACAGGGTGTGATATGTCTAAATGAGACAACGATTAAGAGTTTACCATTGCTCCTAATGGAATATGTGTGTAGCAATTACCAGTCCATCTGCTGAAGAAGGCAAAAACAATTTAATTGCTTTGGCCAATGGTACAAACAAATGCAGACTGGAACAGTACTTTAAGTCAGAGTGCATTTTCTTTTAGCTTTGTGTTATCACCAGGGACTCCAACCCATGATCTCCTTTGCAATAAAATGAATGCAGGCACAAGTTTGGCTTAGAGAGAACATTTATTTCACTTTCCTCTCTCTTTTTAAATGCCAGGGATTTAAAATAGGATGTGTACAAAGTACTGAAGCCTCTTAAATTGAATATATTTGTGAAATGCCTGCCTAAGGTGAGCTGTTTGCTTCCAATTTTTATTTGACAGCCAGTTATACCAAACACACCCACAATCCCAAAAAAAAAAAAAAAATTAAAAATCATTGATGTAAGAATCTTCTGAGCCAGGTGGCTAAACCAACTGATCTGGTTTTCCCTATCTAAAATCCTTTAGGGAAAAAAAGTCTCACTTTGGGTTAAAGCCAGAGAGGTGACATTTGGGTTTCAGGAATTCACAGTCTGGATAGCAAGGCCTGACAATGCAGACACAGAAACACAGCCATGCAAATACTCAGTGCTGTAATTAAGCATATATATTATGCATAAATGCTCAATCCATTAATAACACATTCCCCTAATCAATGGCATTTAATCAATCAGTTAAAATATGTGCAATGTGGCAGATGCAGTTGTCTAACCCCCTCATCATTAGGCCTCCCTGTGCTCACGCAGCTCATTTCGATGCATATCAAAAGTTTTCTCGCTGTTTGAAAGAAAATTAATTTAATCGACTTACGTGAGGAATATGTCAGTTTATTTCCTGAAGAATTTTTATTTATACTCAGAAATATAAGTGAGAGCCTGAACATTTATCACCCTGAATACCCAGATTTGAGACATTATCAGACACACCAGCCATCTGGTATTTCAATAAATCCATCTTTTGTTTCAATCAGACAGAGCCCTACTAAGGCATTTAATAAATAATTCACATTTTGTCATCTTGGTTAACATTTCCCTAGGCGATGCATATGCTGTAATATTTTTCCTAACAGATGATTATGAAATTCAGGTATTTGCAGTATAAAAGTGTTACCACAGTTTAAAGGAAAGGTATAATGAATAACAAGAGAAAAGTTAAATGCTTCCAGGTAAATCAATCAGCAAACCTATATTTTCCCTATGCCTCTCATTAAACATTTGCAGAGGAAGTTGTGAAACTTTTTTTTTTAATGTTTCTTATTTATTTTATAGCATAATAAAAATAATATTTTCAGTGAGTATTTGAAACCCTAGCCACTAATTTCTAGAAAAAAACCCCACCAAAGTGCCCCTGTCCAAAATGGCTGGGTAACAAGGATGTTCTTCACAGGAAATCACTGAAAATAGTCCCTATTCACCAAAAAATGCACTGAAACACTTTTTTTTTTTGACTATACAAATACACTGCTATTCACACACCTTCTGCTCTAGGGTTAAATGAAGAAATAGCTGTGATTAATGGAGAACTGTGAAGTTTTATGCATTTAACAGCATTAAATCAGGTGCATGGCACTGGTAGGTGTGAATGTGATTTGCGACTCTTTTACTCACCCTGACTCCACCCTGTGCCATCCCCTGCGTATGGAACCCAATTAAATAATCTGCAGGCCCTCGTCAGTGGCGTCATCACAACCAAAATACTGATTTTTCTCTTGGCTTTACCTTGTCCTTCTTCTGCTTTTCATCCTGGTATATTTTCCAGTGCTCCCCATCGTTGCTGTACGCAAGCTTGTAGGACCCCACAAACTGGACGTGCCCAAAATCTTTTGCTCCTTGGGTGATTATCCCAGTGATCTTCGTAGGGATGAGCAGGTCAATCTGAACAGAACAGTTTAAAATTTAAAAAAAAAAAAAAATCAGAAACGAACAACCAACCAACAAAAAAAAACCAAACCCAAACAAAAAACCCCAACAACAACAGCAAAAAAAAAAACAAGACAAAAAAACCACCAAAAAAACACCCAAAAACCCCAAATAAACAAAAAAAACTCCCAAAAAAACCCCATCAAAACCAGCAAAAACAAAAAAACAAAAACAAAATATCCCGAAACAAATAAACAAAAAAACACACAAAAAAACCTCAAAACAAAAAAGAAACCCCAACAAGCAAGCAAAAAAATAAAAAACCCAAAAAACCAAAACAAATTTTTAAAGCCCATCAAACACCTCCCCCCCAAATAAATAAATAAAAAAAAAATCCAAAAAAACCTCAAGGAGAACATAATTAGAACACTTTCTGTTTCCAGTCTGGTTTTGCAACACACCAGAGCAAAATGATGCAGTTTTGGTCCTCCCGCTGTGTGTGACACCATGGATAATAATTCACTTCTCCAAGTTCTAATTTCCCTTTTTTCCCCCATTTTTTATTTATTTATTTTTAAACTTATTTTTGATACCACCTAATGGCACAGCATGGAATAATCTCACACCTTTCTCCATTGTGCTGAGTGTCATACATGGCTCCCAAAAAACTCAATTAACTTACAATGGGAACAATCTGCAGCTAAAAAATATTCCCATGTGCTCCTAATAATCAGAATGCATGGCTGATTCCCCAAGTGCCTTTCCGTTTCCTTCTCAGTTCACGAGCCCATGCTTTAGTAAGACTCTTAAAACATTTTAAGCTGTCATGCTCCTTTTCCTCCTGAAATTCCTTCTCACTTTATGCCTTTCTTTCTTTTTCTACCTGAAAAATCTCAAAGTTTCTCGTTTCTTGAATTTCTTTTTGGAGTTTTTTTTTATTTTATAGTCTTAGCACAATGCTTTTTAAAAATGCAAGGCAGGAGTCTTAAAGCCTAATAAAATCTGAGCTTTCAAGTGGTTTCCACGTGAGTCAGCATGCCCGTGCTCAGCTCTTTGTGAACCAGAACCCAACACTGAGTGTAACAGATTTGGGCCAGATGCCTTGGATTAAAATGATCAAGAAAGAGAATGCAGTAGCAAAAGTAAATTGACCTAATAATGTAATTTCAGAGGCAGAATGAAGGAGCTGAACTCCCTATAAAAACTGATATTTTCTTGAAATTTGAGAGTATAACTGAGGTTTCGTTCTTTGTCCTCCAGCAATGTGGCGAGCCAGTAAAGAAGAAATAAAAGAAAAGGTGGATTTATTTCAAACAATAAATGGCTGTGAAGCAGTCGGCATTTTAAAAATTGTCCCTTAAATCAGGCAAGAGAGACTCAGAATAAAAATATTACAGTGAAGGGAGAGGAGTGCTGAACTTCACGAGCAGGTTGATTGACATGTTTTTACAGAAAAAAAATAAAAAGAAATTAGAAAGTGAAGAAATAAAGAATCTCTGTCTGATGAAATGCTGACGGTCCGGTGCTGGATTTTTAGGAAGCTAAGACCCTCTGAGCAAACTCATGTTGGATGGAATGAGGGGCTGGGGTGAAGAACAGATGTGCTGTGGAGCATAGGAAATTAATAATGAGGAGAGAAACAGAAACAAACGAGCTTAAAAAGTCAGCTGGTCCTGGATAGTGCCTCTGAAAGACGGAAATTGGGGTTTGGATTTTTGTCCCAGGCCAGGTTGGACAGGGATTGGAGAACCCTGGGATGGTGAGAGGTGTCCCTGACATGGCAGGGGTAGCACTGGATGGGATTTAAGGTCCCTCCCAACCCTTCAGGCCATCCTGGGATTCTGTGAGGACAGAAAGAAGAAAACAATTGAAAAGTGTAAGAGTACATTTATAAGAATAGAAGAGGAAAAAATCACAGTGTAGAGCAATCAAAGAAAGGAAGCCTGGAGATCCCAACATTGGAGCAAAGAGTAGCAAATCACAATAGTAAATCCTTTTAAGGAAAGCAATGGCTTAAAATGTTCAATACTGAGACACCAAAACAGTGAGGGGAAATGTCAGAGTCTGTAGATGGCTCAAGAATTTTGGTTTTGCCAGAGTGAACTAATTTATTGCCATCATTTATTGCCAGCTGAGGCAATGTTGAGGCGCCCCAGGATGTCCCTGGGAGGCAAAATTGTGTTTTTGTTCAATGGGGAGAGAGGGGGACTCAGCCAGAGCAGGATCCTGCTTTGGAAGCTTTCATGGATGGCTTGAAGGGACTTTTCTCTTCTGTAAGGAGTGCAGGGTTCCACAGCCTAAGTGGGCCCCTGGGAAATGAGCACTGCTAATTAGTGTAAGTCTTTCATGAATTAATAAACACCAGGTCTCCAGACCTTGCTTCCAAATATTTTCGAGTCTAAATGAATAGTCTGTTTTTCTAAACAGGCTGATCACTAATTGGTCCACACTTCCAGGCAGCTTTTGAACTGAACATTTCAGAGTCAACTTTAGATTCTCTTTATAAATAATTTTGACATTAGCATTTTACAAGTGTAACCTCTTTTTAGCAGAGAATGCTTCTTATACTAAAAGTCAATGTCTCTCCTGTTAGCTTGAAAAAATGCCTCCACAAAACCAGTTGTTTATTTTTAAAATGTTGAAAGTGAGCTGAGAGGATTTCACAAATATTTAACATGGCCATGACACTCAGAGTACTCCTCATTGAAATTCAGAACAGGGAGAAAAAAAATTTCTCATTAAGATTCAGGGGATTCCAAAGGTAGAATCACAATAAATCTTTATTATCACATACATCCAGTGTTAATAAAAATGTCCTGGTAATGATTGTTTTGTGCTTATAGGACATACCCAGTGGCCTTGCTCTCTTGTTCAGAAAATGATGTGGGAAGCTGGAAGGTAATTTGGCTTTGCTCAGTTTTTTTTTTTTTCAATAAGACTTATATAGGACTGTGTAGAATATGTGTGGGTTTTTTTTTTTTTTTGGAAAAAAAAAGTGAAAAAAGAAATAATGAATAAATACACTCTCTTCTTAGGTCTTGACAATACAGGCAACACATATTGCTGGAGATGAAGGAAAAGAATACAGGATATAGCACCAGCATTTCTGTCTCTTATTTTATACTTATTTATTCATAAGCAGATGAGAAGTCTTCAGGCAATAAAGATCATTATTTAAATTAAAGAAATACAGCTTTTACTCTGTAGCCTCATTACCTTCTACCTTGCTTTCCATTCTTTGTATTGAAACTACTTTGGAGCAGAAAGTTGAGGAGGATTTACACCACCTTCTAGGTAAAACATCTGCACTGAAATAGCCTAAATGAAAGTCATAACTTCCCATCAGGACACAGAACACTTTTATTCAGTTAGTGCAGCTTGCAAGTAACAGGCAATCAAACAAATTACCAGGGAGAGAAGTTGAATTAAGACACAACCAGTGTGTACCCTTCAAAGCTGAATGTGATTAACAGGATTAGAATGTGACTCTGGCTTCTTCAGTGCAGCAGAATTTAGAAGGAGGTAGAGGCAATTAGTCTGCAACTGAGAGGATCATTAGCTGGTTACAAGGAGAACCATGGTCTACAGTTAATGTACATTTCTACAAGCAGCAGATCAAAAGGCAGTTTAGCATCCTGTGTCTGAAAGAAGCCTCTTGGGCTGTAACTATTCCCTTTTCCCACCTTGTTTCACGTGCTACAGACAAACTCAGGGTGGTTTGGAGGAGAGTTAACTTAAGGAGAGCGCAGAGGTGAGCACACCTGAGCAGTGGAGCATTTCCGAGGAAGCACTTGCATGGATGTGCAGCGCCAGCTCGGGGTGTTGGTGTGCACTTCACGGGACGATCACCAGAGATTCCCTGCAACCTCAGCCATTCTCTGCCTCCCCAACACATGGCACAACCCAACCGTGCTGCCCCAAACCCCACAGACTGGGAAACAGCGCATTTATTCAGCATTTACGCTGCCAGGGGAGCAGGAGCAGACCTGCAATGTGACACCATGGAACGGGGTGTCTGCACAGCCCTGCTGCAGGGCTCCCACTTCCAGACACGCCGGGCCTCCTTTCCCAGCACATCTTTTGGCTTAATTTACTCTGAAGGGAACCCGTGGTTTGTGAGGACGGCCCATCGTGTGAAGCAGTGCATGAAAAGTGAAGGTGTCCTCAAAAATAACACACTCCTCATCAACCTGGCAGTGTCAAAGAGGAGGAGAAGGAACCCCCAGGATGCAGGGAGTGCCAGGCTCCGTTTCACACGGAAGATGATGGTGAAATGCCTCACTGTGACTTTCAGCTGTTCATCCTTTCAGGAGTATTTAAAACGTTCAGTTAAGACCTGTCTTTGTGCAGACATTGTGGCTCTGTTCCCAGTAGAGCCAATCCTGTGTTCAGCTTTTCTTGTAATTTTAGACACGCCGTTTTTTCCCCACAGGTTTTGTTTTATTTGCCTTTGTGATCCTGTAGATTGTGTTTTATTGTTGTTGTTGTTTCGGGGGTTTTTTTCTTTGGTTTTTTTTTTGTTTTGTTTTGTTTGTTTGTTTGGGTTTTTTTTGGTTTTTTGGGGTTTTTCCATTTTTTGGGGTTTTATTTTAGGTTGGATTTTTTTGTTTTGTTTTTTTTTTTTTGGTGTGTTTTCTGGTATTTTTCTTCTTTGGTTTTTTTTTTGGTGTGTTTGTTTGATCATTGGTTTTTTTGGGTTTTTCTTGTTTTTTTTTTTGTTTTAATCACTCATCGGATAACGCTGATGAAAGCTGGGCAACCTCAATCCACTTGGCAAATGCAAAATCACTGGGATCAGAATTAAAGAAACCTGGATCCAAAGAATATGACAACTGGAGGGAGGCACTGCCAAGGTGGGGACAGTTCTCACCCTTTAGAGACTGAATAAAGAAGGCCACAATTGCCTCCAGCTGCTAATTCACCAAAGTTCAGACCTGCCTGTTAAATATCCTGATATCATCACAGTGAGGCCTCAGATTATTTAGGGATGCTTAAGGAAATGGTTGGACACCAAA